CCTCCTGGGCAGTCACTCTCTGGAAACGGTTCTGTCCACCTCACCTACCCATGAGAGGTGGGCCGGGGCTGTTTTCATCACTGTGTCCCCAGAACCATCTAGCACAGGCGTAGGCCCCCCACAGTCCACCCCTCAGCCACATGACAAGGCCTCACAGTAAGAGCCAGGATTCAAACCCACACCTTTCAGATGTTAAAACATCTTCTAAACCTGGAGATTCCAAACTGGAGGAACACGGACAGACCCTAAGCCAGCCGATGTTTGGTCAACATGATGTTTGCAAGTGAGTTTAGACTTGTGCAACTCTTGATGTGGCTGTCAGTCTTGTTCACCTCTCTAATTCCAGTGCTTGCTATCCAGAGGTCTACCCTGTCCTATCTCTGTTATTTATAAAATGTGCCTGTCCCCTAGGGCCTTCGGGGTTTGCAGATCTCCCCCTTATGCCAAAACCCTGAGCTGCCTTCCCATGGTGGTCAGAAGCACCTCAGCAGCCAACATTAAGCAAGCACTCACTCTGCCCAGGCAGTGCTGAGGGCTCTCCATGGGCCCCCTCCTAGAGCCCCATGTGAGGCAGACACAGTATGATCCCACCTTCCGGATGAGAAACTGATGGCTGGGGTGGTTACACAGCTCGTGAGTGGCAGCACTTTGCTTTGAACCCAGACTTCTGTATCTCCACCTTCCCCTGCTGGGCACAGCCACTGAGAGCCAGGAAGCCTACTGGCCCCAGTGGACTGCCCCTGCTCCTCTGCTGAGCACCCAGCCCCCACTGGCCCACCATAAGGCTCTCACCGTTCTCTTGGGCAAAACGAGAGGCTTCCAGGAACGTGACCTCACGCTCGGGGTCCAGGTCCTTCTTGTTGCCACAGAGGATGACCACAATGTTGGGGCTGGCCAGCGTGCGGGCATCCGTCAGCCAGGCAGTCAGAGAGTTGTATGTCTCCCGGCTGCAGAGAAGGGAGAGAGAAGGGGGGTGGGCATGCAGGACAGGGCCTCCCCGGGCCCCACCCCACCCACTCCGTGCACCCACCTGGTGATGTCATACACCAGCAGGGCTCCAGCTGCCCCTCGGTAGTAACTCCGTGTCACCGACCTGTGGGGCCAGGGGGACCCAGTCACCCCTGAGGCTGGGGTCTGCCCCGAGACTGCCCCCCTCTGCGGAAAGAGACTGGTGGTTCGGAGGCCCCCCTTCACTGCTGGCCCATCCCCCAAAACCAGCTGCCACCGCCTAGTCTACATTTCCCTCTGTCTGACAGACTCTCTCTCAGTCTCCCTCAATCCTTTATCTCAGTTAGCTGTCTGCCGGCCTCTGTCTGAGTCCCTACCTGTCTTTGATTCTATGTCCCTGTCTTTCTGAATCTCTTCATTGACCTTTCTGCTTCTCTTAGGTATATGTGACTTTAATTCTCTGTTTCTCTCTGCCTTGGCTCTCTCATCATCACTCTTGCTTCCCCATTCATTCATTCATTCATTCATTCATCATTTCCTGTCACCTCAACTTTGCCCAGTCCTGGACAAGTGCTGTACAACTATGTTCACTTGTCCCTCTCCTGCTGCATCTCGGGGAGGCCCGCTTCCCAGTGGGGCCAACTGTCCAGACCTCCCTTTGTCACCAGTCTGCTCCCTCTGGAACTCATACAATCATTCCAGAAGTATTTACTGAGCCCTTACCACAGACACAGCCCATCCCGCTCACCCACCTCTCCTTCGCCTTCTATCTCTGGGCTGTGTGCACCTCACACAGTGAATCAACATATGAATACAAACTTGGCAGCTACTAACCACTGTCCAGGAACCGTATGTTCCCCCATTTTTCTCTCCCTATTCTCTGCCCGTTTCTCACACTCAGGGTTCCAATGTGTCTATCACCTTTTCTGCATCTTCTTATGACATGCCATGTGCTGAGCATCCTCTTTTCCCAAAAATGTCCACTCCACCTTCTCTCTGGCTACCCCGTTCCAATCTCCCTGTCTCTGTCTCTGTCTCTATTCCTCTGTGTGTGTGTGTGTACCTCTTTCAAGTTTCTGCTCTGTTTCAGCCTCTCTTTTTCAATCTCCACCCCTTGCCTCCACCTCATGTGCCTCCTTCTCTGCAGGCCTGTCTCTCCCTGGGCACAAGACCCCAGCCTTATGTGTCTGGCTATCATGGCCTCTCTAGGGTCTCTTGGTCTCTCCCTGGCTCACTCGCTCTTCATTATGTTTTTTCTCATTCTTTCTCTCTCACCATGTCTGACACCTTCCGTCCAGGATTCCTTCTCTCTTCGGTTATGTGTGTCTGCTAATGGAGGTCCCTTTCTCTTCCCCTCTGCCTTACTGCCCTCTCAGTGTCTCCTTGCTCCTATCATTGTGTCTCCAAATGACTCTGCACACCTCTCTCTCTCTCTCTCTGTCTCCCCTTTGTCCCCCACACTCTTCTTCCTGGGAGCCCAGCCCACCTACCGGAACCGCTCCTGGCCGGCTGTGTCCCAAATCTGTAGCTTCACAGTCTTCCCACCCACGTTGACCACCCGGGATCCAAACTCCACACCGATTGTGTGGTTGGAATCCTGTTTGACTGAGAGTGGGAGGGAGAGAAGAGGAGGGCAGGGGCTCAGAGGATTCCCTGGCCTCCAATGCCTCCTCAAGCTGTGCCAACCCATTCCCAGTGCTGGGGTGAGTAAGGTGCAAGGAGGACCTTGCAAAGAGCATACACCAAGGCAAAACCCCCAGGGAACCAGCACTGCAGTTGCACCTATGGCCAATCCTGCTGCAGCCCACGCCAGTGGCTGCCCACTTGCCCATGCCATACCCATGTCCACAGGTCAGTTCTCCCAGGACCACTCCCAGAAACTCACACTTATTCTCAATGAACTGATGAAGGAGACATGATTTGCCAGTTCCTGCACTGCCAATCACCAGGAATTTGAAGAGGAAGTCTGAGCAGATGGGACCCCAAAATCAGGGGAAAAGATGGAAACCAAGAGAGCATTACCGTTCCAGGGAGAGAAACAGACACAGGGAAAAACAGAGCAATGGGTAACAACAGTAACAGGTAATTCTTATACAGCAGTGCCTACCATGTACCAGGCACAGTTCTAAAGCTCTTTACTTACACTGACAACTCACTTAATCCTCAGGACAACTCTAGGACAGAGGTATACTAATAATTATCCCCATTTTCCAGCTGAAGAAACTGAGGCCAGAAAGGTCAACAGACCTGCCCAAGGTCCCAAAGCTAAGCAGAGATGGGATTCAAACCCAGGCTACCTGGCTCCAGGGTCCAAGATCTTAGCTATTACATTGCTAAAGCCTCTTGAAAGCCATTTTATTAAGGACTGTAATCTTGCATAGGCTCCTCATGACTTCAGCTCCTTCCACTCTTCGGCTCATTCATTCTACTTTAGCCTCTGACCTTCAGTCTATTTCCTGAAAATGACAAGCTGGTTCCCACCTCAGGGTCTTCGCACCTGTTCCCTCTGCTTTTCTCTATTTGTTGAATGAATGCAAGCTCCTCTGTCTCCTAAACCAGTGCTCTTACTACCCCACCTTGTCCTCTCACCTTCCAACCATCCATGGGTGATTTTCCATTTCTCAGTCCTTATTCCTTCCCTTCGCCAAGGCACTGCGCTATTAGGAAGCTTAAACTCCACCCCTTGCCACTAGTCCCACCTCCTAATTCAAAGACAACTCATCCCCAACCCCATTCCGGTCCTCTCAAGCTAGAACAGTCCCAAGTGCATCCCTTCAGGGCCACCCCAACAACCCACAGCCTATCAAGCTCCACCCCTGCCATTCACATGTCAGCCCTGCCCTCTCCACCCAGGCTCCGCCCCGATACGTTAGGGCCCACCCTTTCCCTCAAGGCCCACCTAGACTCAGAAGGCTCCCTCCAATCCCGTCCCAGATCTATTTAACCCACACACAGGACCCTCAGGCTCCGCCCAAATCGATTAAGCTCTGCCTCAGACCCACCAAACCCCTCCCAAAATCCACTAGGTCCGGCCCCATAACGGCAGACCCCGCCCCCTGGCATGTAAAGCCCCGCCCCATTACCACAGGCCGCATCCTCCCTGGGCCCAGACCCAGACCTCGTCTTCGGCCCACCAGTCTCACCGTAGGTCTCGGCCATGACTCGGTCACGGCCGCTTGGGGCCGCAATATGGCGCCGCGGCCGCGCCTGCTGCTCGGCTGGCAGCCGCTCTACTCCGGCTTGCAGCCCCGGCTTCTTCCTACTCCCGGGGCCCGGCGCCGCCACTTCCGCCTCCACCCCACTCCGGTGCTACCCGCTAGGCCTGCGGGATACCAGGCCACGCTCCCCAAGGGCAGGGATTGGCGGACTCGGCGGCCACGGGGCGGGACAAAAGGCACGCATTGGCAGTATGAGAGGGGATGAACAAAAAGGGGCGAGACCACGACCAGCGATTGGCGAAGCAAGTGGAAAGGGTCGGTGCAGAGATGCTGAACGGAGCAGAGAAACGGATTTGGTCAGGATTTCGGAGGCAGCATCGAGACTCGGGATTGGGCAGGAGAGGACTTGGGGGAGGGGATACGGTTGCAAAGAAGGCAGGAGCCTACGGATTGACAGAACCTGCAAGAGGAAGAGATCTTGAGCTAGCGAGAGCGATTTCTGATTTTAAAAGCAGGAGGGACGATATGCGCAATCCCCCATCTCCCTTTGCAGATAATCTTCCAAGGAGACCTCTGCTCTGCGATTTATGTCTTCAAGGTCCGACTGCCTCATTCCGAGTAGTTCCGCGCCCTCACATTGGTGATCTAAAGAGGATAAAATCCCCGAGTTGGGCTGCTTAGGTTATTCCGTCTTCTCATTTCCTTCTGTGGTATCTAAGCGTAGGAACCCACCTTCAGATACCCATCAAGGTAAAAGGAGCATTTAGTCAAGTGAAACTCTGCCTAGCAACCACGGATGTTAGCACAGTCAGTGGGTTGATTGGCTAGATTTAGGAACCTGGGGAAACATTTCCCTTTAACATTTCCCACCACAAAGACTACAGAGACCCATAGTTTGCACTTGGCTGATGTATTTGCATAAAGCCAGGGAGAAAAAACGGCAAGGGCAGCAGTAGGCTGAGCTCACTGGCAGTAGAAATCCCATTTCTGAAAAAGAAAGGGGAAACAGTGGGGAGAAAACCAGCGGTTACACCACAAAGGATCTAACGGTTTTAGCAAAGGCTGTAGCTGTTGAGGCCAGGTTTGGCCACACAAATGTTATGCAAATTAGCCCAGAGCCCTCTAATCCTTGCATCTCTCAACTGGACAGAGATTTAGCAATCACAGATGAGAAAACAGGTAGGAATTTGTCCCAGCACACACTGCTAGGCTGCTAGGGGGAGCCAGGAGTAGGAGCATCTTTGCCCATCGCCACAACCCTTGGGCCCTCCCTCCAGATATCTGCCAACCCCCAAAACACTCACATCTGTCTTCAGATCGATTTTGCCAGGTTTCAGGGTCTGATCCTCACGTACAATGCTACTGGGGAAATAGCCCAGGCGAGCTGCTAGGTCTCCATAGTAATCTCCCTGAACCTGGAGAAAAAGAGTTAAAAAGCCAGGGTCTGGGAGAATGGCAAACTGGTTCCTGGCGAAGAACTTTGCACTCTCTTCTCCCTAACTCCACATGGCTGGCTCCATCCTTGTCACTCAGATCTCAGCTTAAAGTCACTGGCTCAGAAGCTCTCCGCAACCACCTGCTGTAAACTAGTCAGCCAGTTATTAATTCTTGAAGCAGCACATACTCGCTGATATTTTTGATGGTTTGTCTCCTTCCATTAAAATAAAAGGGAGCATTTGCTGTTCTATCTTCAGTGTTTAGAACAGAGACTGACATCATAGGTGTCCTGTAATACTAAGCAAAGTAAAACTAGATCACAACAGCTTCCCCCAAACCATTTCAGCTCATTCCCTCAAAATTTCCTTTAGGTGGAAAATTAGGGTGCACTCCCACCCCAGTCCCATAGCCATTCTTTTTGTTCTCCCAAGACTTACACTGCCTCCCCAGAAGAGCCGCCCTCGGCCCTTCAGCTTGGAGAAGACATACACAACTTGGCCCCTGTGTATGGTCAGGAAACGGCAGTCAGGGGCCACGTAGTCCTGCAGGGCCACAGCCATGGAGATGGGGTCTGGGGAAGGAATAGAAGGGATCGACAGCACCCTCCACACTGGCAAGCAACCCACATCCCCAGTCCCCCCACACCCAACTCTTACAGCTGCATTCCTCATCTGCACACAGCTTCCAGTCAGCCAGTTTAGGCATGGGGCGGCCCCCAAAACCAAGCCCAGGGAAGGAAGACAGCAAAATGATGACACCAAGGAACACTGGAGACCAAGCCATCTCGGACTATGAGCGCGACCAAGGGGGAAATGGGGTCTCCAATTTCCTCCTGACCTCCCTCTCTAGCCGTACAAGGCAACCAGTGTTCTGTCTTGTCCCCGCCCTAAACCAGTCCCAAATTTCACTCACTCCACCTTGAGGCTGCTACCCAGCCAGAACCATTTCATGGACAGGGTGAGGGCTGCCCACCCAAGGAAATGCCCAAATAGGCACAAAGCAGCCCAGACCACCCCAAGTTATAGCCACCCCTTCAACAATCAGAGAGGCCCAGACAGGCTGATCAGGCATTCAATTCCACCTTCTGGAGTCCGCTTGGTTATCTGGGCCCCTCCGCTATCCCCTCCAGGGACAGAACCAAAGAAGCCAGTAAGGAAAACCACCTTGGAATTTCCTGTGCTGACGGGCAGGAAACAAGGCAGCCCTTTGATTGCCCCAGCTCTCATGCAGAGAAAGCATTATGCGCTGGGCCTTAGGCTAGGCAATGCCCTACCGTGATTGCTATTTATCCTCACAGGCCACTTCCTGACTGGGTGACCTGAGCTTTTTCTCTCAAAACCTCACCTTTCTCATCTGTAATATAGGATAACAGCTAGTATTTATAGAGCATTCACCATGTACATTTTTTATTAGTTCAAATGGATACTCTGCATCACCTCAAAGTGATTTCATAACTCCATTTGACAGGGAAATGGAAGTGAGAGCCTCTAAGAACTTGTCCAAGGTGACTGTGGGTAAAATTGTACTATTTCCAGAATATCTCGCCTGGCTTTAGTGTATCTGCATATCAATAGGTGTTCAGAGGTTGAAAGAAGTATGGCTTTAGTGCATTTGCATCATTCCTCAGGGGTGGAGAGAAATTCATCTCCCTATCAGTGGGTAATTACCTGGGCAACAGAGGGCTTATCTGTACCTGAGAGGTGACAGGAGGTCCTCTGCTTCTGCTGGAGCAAGAAAGAGAAGGGCCTGACTACAGTTTGTAAGCAATAAACAAATTTTAAACTTTATTTCTCCCTTTGACTAATTTCAGTTTTAGAGGTATTTTGCCCCAGGATTTCCTCTCCCCGGACTTAATAGTTAGAGGTGGGAAGTGGATAGACTAGGTTTGGCTCCAGGCCCACACCCATCACTGCTGAGCTTGTTCAGGTGTCGAAGGTGAACAAGTACCAGAGGATTTGAACTCGTCTCACCCCACCCCTAAAACTGTGCTTCAGAGACCCACACACCTGAGATCATTCTCCTGAGCACCCACCTCTTCCCTCAGGCAGTTCTTACCTCAGGCCAGCAAGTCCAAACATTTTTTAGCAGGGGGAGAGGATGGGCACAGGGGAACATAGCTTAGGGTAGAGAAGAATTCATCAGAACAAAGACTAGGCTTAAGCCATATGTATAAGCCCAACTCCCAGCACAGAGTACCAAGATCTTGAGTATAAATAGCTCTCTTCGCACACCACCTCCTTGGAGGGGCTTTTCTCCATCACCTATTACTACTGTTCCCCAGCCCCGCCACCCCATCACTCCACTACACCAGTTGTTCCTATCAGAACACATATCTGAAATAAGCTTGATTTCATTCACGAATGTGTATCTCATGGCAAGAGCAGTTAGCAAATAGCGTTTGGCAGGCATTTGTTCAATTTATTGAGAGCTTGCTAAATGCCAGGTAGTGGGTGTGTGTTTGGGACAGTGGCAGTATAAACAAAACCACTCTATTAAATATAGATTCCTCCTTAGGTAGAAAATGAAGCTGAGTGGGGACATCAGCTGCCTGTGGGGAACAGCTAGGGAACCCCCCAGGCAGACAGTAGAATCCAGAATCTGCAGACCACAGAACCTGGGGTCACCAGTGTGACAGGTGAGATGTTTCCATTTGTCATCTGCAGCACCACTGTGCCTTTCTGTGAAGACAACAGTCCCTTTCTCCTCTAGTCTTTCACATCTAAGGCAGCAAGTCTGCATCTGGTGCTACCATCACTTCAAACAGATGTTCTCTTCAATGGAGAGCGGAGCAGGAGCAGGCTTGGGCTTACAGTCTTGGCACGAAAAAGTATCGACAGAATTTAACGCTGTCCTATTGTATTTATTTTTGTGGTTTATTTTCTACTGGCAAAATGATCGCATTTTGCCATCTTAAAGGAGTCAGATAGGGTCTTAGGCAGTTTTTTTGAGCGAATTTATAATCTCCCAGGTCAGATGTGTGACAGACTACTAAGGAAGGAACTCCATTTAACCACCCCTCCATTTCCATAGCTTCAGCTGGGTAATGACTGTCCAACAAGAAATTACATTTCCTAGACTCCCCTGCAGCTGAGGCACTGGAAGAGAATTTGGTTCAGCCAACTGCCAGAGGCTCCTAGTTGATGAATGGCCTGCAAGGGAGATCTGCTGAGTGTAAAGCGGCCACACTCCTTGTCCATAGCTTCCCACGTGTGATTGTCAGTTTGGGCACTCTTGTTAGCAGTGTTGGCCATCTTCCTGAACTCTAGACAGCAGTTCAGAGGTTGCAAACTGCAACTCAAGTGTCACAAACCCAGACTGCCATTCCCACTATCCTTCCAATGATTTCGTGAGCACCCAATTCCCTTCCTTCTTAAAAGTTCCTAGAATGGTTTCTGAGGGACTGTTGCTACAGAAGCCACCTTTACAAAGATTAGAAAAAGGTGAAGAAAAACCTTCCTTAACACTCTTATCACATTAAAAATTATTGGAATAAACACACAAGCCTACAAAGTGAATGGTGCTCCCTTAAAGGTGGCAACCTTATGCAGTACACAACCTGCCCAACTGTACACGGCAGCCTGGGTTTCAATTTCCTGCCCTGAATGTGGATTAAGACAAAGCAGAAATTTTCCAAAGTAGTCAAGGTGACTTAAGCTTAGATAATTTTACATTATTCTATATTTTCCCAAGATTGCAAACCCCAACATGCTGAAAGCGCTAAACACCTAGAATGTTCTGACGTGCAGGAAAGGGAAACACAGGACAAGAGAACAAATGGTTGTGAAAAACCAAATGTCAAAAAAACACTTTTATTCCAGCCTAACAGCACCAGGTGCAATGTCTGGGGACAGACTCTGGGTACAATGCTGTGTGGCGACCACTCACTCACACACAGCTCTGAGAAGGCCCCCACAGGGGACTTACCTTCGGGGGGCTGAGCCAAGAAGGGGGAGGGGATGGCCCCAGAACAGGGGGCAGGGGCAGGCATGGGAAAAAGGTGCTACTTCTTGGCAAAGGAGATCTTCATGGCATTGTTCTGAGTGATCTTGAAGCCCTGTAGGGCATCGCGAGCAGCCCCTGCCTGCACCTCATTGTCAAACTCCACAAAGGCAATGTCATGCCGCCCAGGGACCAGCCGGACCTCTTTGAAGCCAGGGAACCTGAAAGAGGGGAACAGATGTCAGGGATCCAGACTTGCCATTTCCCCCTAAAATTTTGGCAGCATCCTACAACACACAGGATGGTCCGAATACCAAAGAATTATCCAGCCTGAGATACAGTGCAAAGGGGAGAGACTGTAGTATAAACGAGTGTGTACAATACAAACCAATCATTTAATGAACAATTTTAACATGAATCCCCATGCAGCCATAACCTAGATCAAGGAAAGAACACTGCCCCACCCCATGTCCTTTCTCTGTCATAACCCACACAGCCTGTCCAGGAACCAGCCCTACCCTTTCATGATCTGCTTCCTTTTCTTTCTCTTTCTCTTCCCTCCTTCCTTTCCCATTAGGCACCATCTTCACATTACCTGGGTATCCTTTTCCTAATCAGTATTCTAGAACATATGCATTATTCTGTGGAAGGGTACATGTATTGTTTTCCTAATTTATTCTGTTTCTTAAATTTTTTTTCTCAGCACTATTGCCAAGAACCATTCTCACTGTTCTCTCTGCTTCTGCATGGCACAGCGTGCCATGGTTAGCACCTGAACCTGACCTCTTCCTTCTGCCAGGCCGCTGCCAACTCCCCACAACCACTGGAAGGAACGCCCTTCTACACACCCTTGGGAGTCCAGCGTTCAATGTCGTCAGTATGTTGTTTTACAGGTACCTTGCATGTCTCCAATTTAGACTAGAAAGATAAGGCCCAGGGCCTGGGCTCCCATACCCCAGTGAAGGCAGAGAATGCTCTGGCACACACTGGCTACTACTGACCCCAGCCTTTTCCCCATATCCCCTTGGGTCACAGACCCAGCCTCAGTCTCCTCCTTTGACATCTCCAGTTATTGTCCCGCCTGGAAAACCTAGGCAGACCCAGGGCTCCACCAGCATTCTGAGGCCTGACCCCATGGGAGCACCTCCTGGCCATCACCCTCGGCTCTGCCCAGCTGCAGGCTCACTTACTGGTTGAAAAGCATGGACAGCATGAGTTCGTTGGTCTCCTCTGGCAGGTTGGTGAGGAACAAGATGTGATTTGGTGGATTTTCTGAAAGCTGCAGGGAAGAGAAGGGAGTCTGTTTGTCTACTGAGGGCCCTCCTGAGTCCTGTTTGAGCTCTTCACCCCTAACCCTGCTGAAGTTCTCCAGTGCTTCACCTGACATACTCTATGTTGCCCCCAGTCTACCCAGCCTTGCCCCCACAAGGCTGTAAGCCACAAGAGGGCATTGCTGTCCCCATAAGCAGGTGCCCAGCAGGTCACACAATGCACCTAGGTGGTGACCGCTGCTCCAGCCTCACCCTAACCTTCAAATCGCTCTCTGCGCCAGGGTCTGAGCCCTCTGCCACATCCTTCTCCTCTTTGAGCACCTCCTCAGGGCGGCCTGCCCAGACCACCCCACCTAAAGCAGCATCCCCACCAGTCCCTTTCCATTCCCATGCTCTATTTATTTGCGATCCCAGTTGAACTAGATACTTACAGGCTGGGCAGGTGGCATCTGCCCCGGCATAAGCTGCTGTGGGGGCATGGCCCCTGGTGGGATCTGGCCAGGTGCAAGGCCTGGAGGTGGGATCATGCCAGGGGGTGGCATATAGGGAGGCTGGCCCGGTATGTGGTGCATGATGCGGGGCGCCTGAGTCATCGGTGGCATGCCCTGTGGAGAGGAGGTGGGCAGGACTGAGCTGGGCAGCCAGCAGGTGGGAGACAAGCTTCTGTAGTCAGCAGAAGGCAGAGAGGAGAAAATGTGAGAGTAAACCCTGGGGGAGAGACCCAGGGAGGACGACCCAGGCTTGGAAGGGGGTGAAAAGGGCACCCAAAGAGAGACGGAGCAAAACAGACCCAGGGTCAAGGGGAACGTCAAAGCAGGAAGTTGAAGAAAATGTCAACAATTGTTAACAAAAAGGAGTGGAAATAAATGCTCTAAGGGGTATGCTGTACTTTAGTTTCTAAAAATAAACTTTAAGGAAAAAGAAATAGACTAAGACCTACAAAGAAAAAAGAGACAGTGAAGGCAGAGATGGACAGGGATGGTCAGGGCAGATGCAGAAAAAAATGGGGAGGGGTGGCAGCAAGGGAAAGTAGGGAGACAGTCCACTGGCACACATCACATGAACCCAGGGGAGCTGGGGAGGCCGGAAGTGGAAGTACACCTGAACAGTCAAAGGCAGACAGAAAGCAGGGTGCAGAAGAGGGGACAGGTGAAAGAGGGAACCCGGACAGTAGCCTAGACACCATTGTTGACGCCAGACGGTGAGTCGGCATCAGCAGAGATCAGACAAACAGCGTGACCCAGTCAGAAGGGCTGACACACAGACTTGGAGACCTCAGGAGTGGGATGTAATTCATCCATCTTTTCTTCAGCACCTCATGCTTTGGGTATCCTGTTTAGAAAACAGGATGTTTCCACTTTTTATGTCCTCACCAAGGTCATGAAGACATTTTCCTGTTTTCTTCTAGAACCTTTATTGTTTGAGCCCTCACACTGAGGTCTGATTCATCTCTAATTAACTTACATGTAGCTGAGGGAGGGAGCATCCACCTGGCCCAGCATCATTCACTAGGAAAAGTCGTTTCACCCCAGGACTGTGCTGACTGACCTTCCATGTGGATCGGACTCTGGACTCCATTCTGTCCCCTGGCCCCAGGCTGCCTTAGGCCTCGTCCTACCCTTACGCTACTTTCACATCCTGATATGACTACTACAGCAGGTCCCCCAGTTTATTCTCCACACCTGCCTTGCTTTGCCTTTCCACAGACCTTTAGAAACAGGCTGCCAGTGTCCCCAAAACTTCCTGCTGGCATTCTGACTTAACCGCACTCAACCTCAGATCAATCTGGAGAGAACTGTTATCTCAACAGCAGGGAGTCCATCCTTTTGCAAAGATCCTCCCACCTGCTCTCAGCATGTTTAGTTTCAGCAGGCAGTTTTGTATCCCTTTAGCTGGACTTACCCCTCACAGCCATTTTTCAATTTGAAGTCTACCTGGTTGTTGTTAGCACACAGAAATAAAACTCATTTTTTCCCATACTGATGTTCTATCTGGTGACCCTGCTGAATTAAGTTTACTTGTTAATCCTAACAATTGGTTAATAGCCTATGCTGGATTTTCTACAGATATTCACTTTAAAGACAGCAAAATCAAAGTTAAGGGGAGGAAGAAACCAAGAGACTAAGACACAGAGAAGGAGAGCTCCTGCCAAACCAGTGGGCAGACAGGGAGGGTACCACCCAGGGGAGATACCGTCACCCAGGTGCTCAGCCCCCAACGGGCACACACAGTCTCTACCAACAATCCAAGGGAGGGACTGAATCCCCTGGGGAGGCCCTTCCACACCCTGCCCCCAAGCCAAACTGCGTGGCTGAGGATGGCCTGGTGGTGACAAGCGTGTGTCTCTGGGCCCGAGCTTACCGGGACAGGCCCCTGGACAGCTCCCACTACAGGGGCAGCGGCCCCACCCTGCACGGCCTTCTTGGAGGCTGGGGTCTCCTGGCTCTTGGGCTTCCTCTTCTCCCGCTTACGGTCCCGCTCCACGAAAGTGCCCTTCATTTTGGCGATGATATCTGAGTCAGTCTTGGCGTACTGGATGCGCTGCCAGACAGCAGAAGGGTTAAGAGCATGAACTTCAGGGCCAAATCGCTGGGCGCAAAAGCAGACTTTACCAGGAGCTTGTAAGTAACCTGATAGAGTTCTCCTGGCCTCAATGTTCTCATCTATAAAATGAGGACTGTGGCACTGCCCACTTCAAAGGATGACTATGAGGAATGAATGAGTTAAAGTGCTTTGAACAGCAGCTGGCTCATAGTTAAGTGCTGGTGGTGTCTTACTGGAATTTTGAAGGGAAGATGGGACAGCCATGAGCAACTGGCCAACGGCAGAAGCCTGAGGACATGAGACTAGGACAGGAGAATCACGCAGGGGGGTTTCCGGTTCCACAGGAGTCTGTCTTCCAGGCTAAATCTCATTCACCCAGCTGTTTGTGGATGACCCATACTCTGGAAGTTCAGTTAACGAGCATCATCACACATAAGCCCCTGTCCTCATGGAGTTTATCTGATGGGGAAGATACAATGATTAAAAAGTGAGTTGGAGATGGGAATGTGAAGTGTTGAGAACTGAAACTTTCAGAGTGTGGCCAGGAAAGGCCTCAGTGAGGTGACACTGGCACAGAGGGAGGGAGAGAGGGAGCTGTGTGGACACCCAGGGAAAGAGCATTCTAGCAAAGGCAACAGTGTATCAAGGAACAAGGCAGCTAATGCAGATGACAGGGAGAAAGGCAACAAGGTCACAGAGCCAACAGGGACTCTGGGGACCAAGGAGAGACTTTGCTTTTCCTGAGAAAACCGGGAGTCACAGAGCATTATAAGCACGGGAGTGACGAGATCTCACTGGGGTGCAGGAAGACACACTGCAGCAGTGGGAGGGAGAATAGTTAAGTGTGGGGAGCAGGGGTGGAAATAAGAGGCCAGTGAGCGGGCTGCAGCTACAGTCCTGTCAAGGCAAGGTGGTGGCGGGGACCCGGCCAGTGCACGGTAGGAGTGAGAAGCAGGCCACTGCTGAAGTTCAAAGGTAGTACACAGGACTCTCTGAAACAACTCACACATGCTTGAGTGCTTACGGTCCACGCAGTGATTTGGAAAGAAAAGCAGGGAAGAGTCAAAACTTTAAGATTTTTGTGGTTTTTATGCCTCAAAAGCTTATTATTAGCTGCCCCAGAAAGACAATGGGAGATGTGGCAACTCTGGGCTTGCACACCCACAGGTGACAGTAGACAGAGTGAAAGGGCTGCCCTCTCCAGATGGAGGTGAGGGCTGCAGGCTGCCCTGCTGTCCCTGGGACCCCCATCTCCCACATAAGGTGACCTCCACACACTGACACTTGCTGTCACTTCTCCAAGGGAGTTGATTCAGGGAGGCATATTCCAACCAGGTGAAACTCAACTGATTGAGGGACAAGAGAAAGGGTTCCAAAGAACCAGTGACATGGCAGGAATTCTAGCTCAGGGCAGGGACTTCAAGCCATTCCCCATATTCTTCCCAGACTGCAGTCCACTCCCCTTCCTCCCATGCCCTAGCTCTCCCTCCCAGCCTGACGCAGCCCTGCTTTTGCAAATAGACCCTCATCTCCCTCCTCTAATCCTCTCTAACCAACAGCCGGAGATATCTCCCTAAAACCTTCGATGGCTCCCCAGCACCCTCAGAATCAAGTCCACCTTCAGGACAAACTTTAGCCCCTGAGCAGCCTGACTTCTGACATTCTCTCCAGGTTATGACCTCCCAACCTCCAAGCTTTCACTCCAGCCAAATGAACCTGGCTCACTTCCTCAATTACATGTACTCTTGGTTATCTGTAGGCCATAGTCCAGATGGTTGCTCTACTTAACACCCTTTCTCCCTCTCCTCCCCCAGCTAACTCTTCTTCTCCAAGTCCCACACCCAGAAAGCCTTCAATGAACACAGACTGGGTGTGGTGCCTCACCTAAGCTCCCCCAGCTCTGTGCACTTCTCCCATCCCAGTCCTGACCCCTGTGGGTCACCACCATCTGGTGGCAGGCTTGTCTCTCCCACAGCACTTACAGGCCTGACAGGACAGGGCTGGGGGTTTCCTTGGTCACTGTGTGCTCCCTACGCCAGTACAATGAACAGTGAATGCTGAAGAAGATCAAGAGACATTCTCGTCCTTAAAGGACAGGACTACAGGTGACAGGAGGCCCAGACCCACCCAGTCTGCTGCAGCACTTTGCACGTACATGCATGTGCACACACCCCCTCCACACCCTCAGTGCTCACCATGGGCTTGTCGTAGAAGGGAAAACCTTGCATGGAGCGCAGGGCGTTGGTGGCACTGCTAACCTCCTTGAAGATGACAAAGGCCTGGCCCCTCATTTTCAGGCTCCGTGATACCAAGATATCCAGGATCTGGCCAAACTGAGAAAAGATGGCGTACAGAGACTTCTTCAGCTCTGGAGTGGAGGAAGGAAAGACGCATGGGTAGCTAGAGACCTTAGTCGCATGTTCTGGGGCTTGAACTCCCCTTTTGAGAGTAAAGTACAGTCAAAAAGGGAAACCATCAGTCCACTGACAGAATACCCAGAATGCCATAGGTCAGTTAACCCTAGAGACAGCAATGTAAGCAGAAGCTAAGAACCACTCAAGTGGTCCCGTGTACTCCTCTGTAAGAGGCCAACAATAACAATACTACCTCACAGGGTGGCTGTATGAGGAACACAAGTCACACACACCAAAGATACACAGTAAATGCCCTATAAATGTGGGCACTTCCTGTCACTGTCCCCAGCACTTTGACACAGGCCCATGTGAAGTGGCCCTGGCTAACTTCTCCAACCTTCTCTCTCCCCGCTCCAGCCACACTAGCCCTCCAGGTTTTCTTAGGCATGCCACACTGATCCTGCCTCAGGATCTCTGCACTGGCTTTTGCCTCTAATAGGAGCACCCTTCTGATATGTGCATGGTGCCTCCTACGCACCCAGGTCTCTGCAGTGTTGCCACCTCAGAAGCCTTCCCTGACCACCCACCCTGTCACGGCACTTTTTAACTAGTTTATCCCCGTAACATCTATGCAAAGTAGGTATTAAGATTCTGCTCAGTTTTCCAATACAGAAAATGAGGTGCAACAAAGGTGATAATTTGCTGAAGCGCATGGAAAGCACATCTGATGTCAAGAATTGAGTTCTCAAGCAGAAATCTATACTGGAGGCCTCCAGCGCTTTGTCTTGTTGTGTGACCTTGGGCAAGTAACATCGCCTAAGTCTCAGTTTCCTAATCTGGAAAATGGGAATAGCTCCTTCCTGCCAAGTCATTGTGCAATAAACGTGATCAAGATTTATACAGTGTTAGCCATCATTATCATTCATTTCATTTTCACTTTGAAATGAAGCATTTTCATTGTAAGCTTATCACTGGGAACACGACAGCGACCACAACAGTCCCAGTTCTTACCCTCACGGACCTCACAGGCCAGTGGAGAAACAGTCCCAAGACAGCCCAGAACAATCAGGGTTTGAGGGGGTAAGGCCAGGGCCTACGGGAAGTCAGAGGCAGGCACCTAAGGAGGAAGAGGACTGCGAAAGGCTTCCTGGAGGAGAGGTCCTATGAGGTGAAACCTTAAAAAGTGAACAGTGAACAGGTAAGTGGGCAGAGGATATGACCTGAGGGAGCATTAAAGACAGAGGAAGCAGCGTGCAAAGGCTGAGGGGTTAACGTTAAGGGTTTGGCTGGAGAAGGCTGAGGAACAGAAGTGGGTGCTGGGGATGAAAGAGGGGCCCGGGTGCGGGAGAGTCCGTTGTCTGGACTATCCCAAAAACTCACCATCCTTCTTGATCTTCTCGTTGAGGTTGTTGATATAAATAGTGTGATTGGGACGGGTCTCGGGAACTGCCATGGAGTGAGGTGCCGAGGTAGGGTTGAAATAAAGAAAATGGTAACTTCAGCCCTCGGTTTCTCCAAATCCGTTGTCCCGACGCAGGCTTATCGGGCCGCTTAGGGCTATTCCTTCCAAGAGTAAGTCTAGAAAGCAGGGGAGGAGTGATGAGAAAGGCACAGCTTGGAAAACAAAGCGAGAATACCTCTTCCCTCCGCGTGGTGAGGAAATTTCGAGTTTACTACTAGTCCCAGGATGCTCTACGCGACCCAATAGGCGGAGCGTCCTAAGTGGCGATGCCCACTGGCCCGCAGGATCAAAGGGCGGCCCACCCCTCAAAAAAACCCGGATGTAAAGCCAGTTAAAGGTGATTTTGCGGCGCCCCGGCTTCGCGCAGCGGGAAGTTTCCCCACAGGAAGTGCAGAAAGGCCCTGGCGCCAACCACTCCGTCCTCCAGGCGCCGATGGCCGCCTGCACTCGCGATTACTCACCAACAGAGCCGAAGCTCCCGCAAGTAGGGCCTGCTAGTTCCCAAGTGCCGATCACAAAAGCTTCCTCTCCTGGTCCTGCCTTTGGCTTCCTGCCAGCCAATCCCCGTGCGGAAACTCGGTAGTTTATCCAATCAGAGTAAGCCCCGCCCCAGTACCCAGAACTTGCCAATCAAAACCACACTTGGGTTCCCGCCTCGGCAGAAAAACCCCAACCACCTTGTAGGGGTACGGACCAATCAGTGAAGGCTGCGCCCCTCACGCACTTCCGGCCACAGGGGACGCGGCTCGTGCTGTGAGGCTCTTCCTGAGACAGTCATTTGGAAGCCCCACCTCTTCCCCCGCCCAGCCTTCTCTATCACGTGACTACCAAAGGGGCGGACACGAGTTGCCTCACCACCCAATACGGGAAATGTTCGCTTCGGCATCCATTTTGCAGGAAGGGGAGGTGGTGTTACTAGCCGACTCCATTCCTCATCCCAGCTATGTAGCGGCTCCTGACGTCCTCGGAATTCTGAGCCTCTCCCAACCTTCGGACTTTTCCTGTTGCTTTCTGCTTACAGGACCTTCTCCACAACTAAGCTGTTTTCCCTGCCAGGTGTCCTTTTGACTTGCTGATTTCTGACTCAAAGGTCAGCTCGGTGGTTCCGATCTCGGGCTTGGGATGTGAGGGGGTACAGATCCTAAGCTCCTCACTCTTTTGCCCTGGGCCCTTTCGGCCCATCACTCTAGGTCTCAGCCTTCATGTCCCAAAACTGACCCCCAGGTTTCCAAATCTAGCCCCGAATAATAAGTTAACTCCTACTCAGTCTCCCTCCTTGAGCCTTGCGACCCAGCCTCACTTTTACAAATGTGGGTCCGGATTAAAGAACCCCAGATCCTGTTAACTCTCAGATCTCTTGTGATTTGAGTCAGCCTGGACCTCTCATTACGAATTTTTGCTCCGGTTCTTTTAGGCCCACTGTTCAGCCCCCAAATTCTGGAAATCAGCTGCAAAACCTTCAGAATCTCTGCTCCTGTGACCAACCCATTTTGGGCGATCCTTCCCTTTCCATTCTCCACCTCCCAGGCAATGCCATAGACGCCAAAATGATTTCTCCATGCTCTCCTTCCCTGGAACCTCCAATCCCTCCTGCCAGGACCCCTGCATCCCAAACCATCGTTTCTCCTCCCTCTCTACCCCCAAACCTCCCCAACTTAACTTTGCCATCCCCTCCCTCGAGCCTCCAGGCCCCTATTCCCCCACCACCCCCACTTCCTCCTCTACCCGCTGCTATGGGAGTTGCTCCCCCTCTTGTCTTCGGCCTGGAGAAGAGCCAGCTCCTGAAGGAGGCCTTTGAGAAGGCTGGCCCAGTCCCCAGAAGCAGAGACGATGTGAAGAGGCTCCTGAAGCTGCACAAGGACCGGTAGGGTTTCTGTGCCCCATGCCTCTCGCTCAGGGTCTCACCCAACCACCTTGGACTTCAGCCCCCCTGGGGTTTCCCATTTCCTCAAGGTCCAGCAGCTGGACTGCTTCAGGCCCCTACCCAGGTCCCTTCAGTGGCATGTGCCTTCAGCAAAGCAGAAAACTCCTGCCCTCACAAGCACTTTGTCCAGTGGGAGAGACAGATCCCTCGCTCCAGGTGACAGCCTGGAGTGGTCAGAGCTGTGATGAGGGAGCCCAGAAGGGGTACCTGACCAAGGCTGGGGGTCAGTGAGGCCTGCCTGGAGGAGGGGATCCCTGAGTACTGGAAAGCAAGTCATGCAGGGGTGTATGTGAACAGCTTGTGCAGAAGGCCAAAAAAGACGTGCAACTATTTCTTTAATGGGTCAGGGCAAGTGACAACCAAGGGATTTCATGGGAGGGCAGGAGCCAGATTAGACAGAGCACAGGCCATGTGATGGAAGGAAGGTGGACAGTCCCGAGGGCACTAGGGAGCTGTGGAGGGCTTTGCACAAGAGGGAGGCCAGCCACCTGTGGGGAGTGGGGGTGGTGAGACTCCAGGGGGCCCTGGAGGAAGCTGGAGCATCCAGGGGCCCAGGCAGGAGGCAAGGGGGGATAACCTGGACTGGGTTGTGGGCCCCAGTTTAGCGATTCTTTGCTGGAGGGAGAAGATTGACAGAAGAAACTTCCCATTTTCTAGACAAGTTTCTACTCTGCTGTAAGAGTGAGGCAAATTTAGTGCAAATAACAACCATCCATCAGTGCATGTGTGCCATGTTTCCGACATAGTTCTAAGTGTTTTTAAGTATTTAATTCTCTCAACTATGCTATGACAGAGGAACTGTTATCCCCATTTCCCAGATGAGGAAATGGGGGCTTAGAGTGTGAAGGAACTTGGCCACAGTGCTTAGAAGAGGAAGAGCCCAACTGGAGCTCCAGCAGTGGAGTTCCATGCTTTTAATCACTGTACCGTGATAACGTTTTTGTCAGGAGGGCGCCCCAAACTCGGAACCAGGAGCCTGCAGCCTTGCTCTTTGACTAGCCTTGGAATAGAAATACAGGCTCATTGTCCTGCCCCACCCGATGGGGGTGCATTGTTACCTGGTTTTAATCAGGCTGAGTTAAGGAATTTTCACCCTATTTAACAGTCTAAGAAACAGGCTTGAGAAGGGGGGTGAACAGAGTTTGGGTATAGAGACACCCCTTCGATAAATTTCCTCTAATGCCTCAGGCTCCTGTTGGAAAGCTTTCGTGCATCTATTGCTTGCCCCTCCCTACAAAACAGAGCAGGGAGCGGCCAGTGGAAGGATGATTCCCACTGAGCAGATGAGGAAACCGAGGCTCAGGAGGGCAGGTGCCTCATCAGGGTTCAAGGAAGTCAGTGACTGAGCCAGGAGCTGCCCCTGGCCCAAACGACAGCTGGGCCTGTGTCCCTTTCACCACCCGTCAACACCCCACTCTCAGCCAGACCGCAAGGGGAGACTTTTAGGAGCTGGAGGCCGCATGACCTGAGTGAGGCTCTGATTCAGTTTCAGAAGTGACTTGCAGTGGATCCTCTTCTGTGCTGACCTGCCCTCCCTCATCCAAGAAGGCCCACAGTACGTGCCCTGATCTGGGACCCCGACGCTTTTCCAAGCTTCTGCCTGTGCTGAGCTCCGTGAGGACTGACCTGGAGGCTGGGAGTGGTGGGCTCATCCCAGGCAGCCTGGAGAGGAGTGGGAGGGCAGAGAAAGGGGGAGCTCGCCAGCTCAGGGTCCTGGGAGCATGTGCAGTAAACAGAGTTGGAGCGAGCGAGCGAGCTAGTAAACCTGGTCCGTCACCTCTGATTTCCGCTCTGGCACGTTCTCTTCCTGAAAGGCCAGGTGACATCTCTCCCGACCCGCAGCCCTCCAGCCCCGGGCTCAGGCCTTGGCCATCCTCTCTCCCTTGAAGGGGAGTCAAATTCTTCCCACCCAGCCTGGGAGAAAGGGGGCGAACTGCCCCAGGGCAGCAAGCCTTCCTGCACTGCAGCCCCTGGGGCAGAGGGAGCTCTGTAATTACAGACAGGACTTCTGGGTCGAGGGACTGGGCCTGTCTCTCCCCAGGTGTGGACTGGTGGCCTTGTGGATGGCAGGCGCTCTCCTGGCGCCCCACCGCAACATCTCCCTGGAGGGACTCGTGCAGATGGCCGTGGAGAGAGGCTACTCTGCTCAGGGAGAGATGTTCTCTGGTGAGTTAGGCGCAGGAGCATCTCAAGCTAGGCGTTCTTCCCCAGGAGGGGGTGGAGAGGCTGGGTAAGACACTGCCAGGCACACGAGGAGGCCTCACTGCATTTCTCAGGCCCTTGTCCCCACCCAGCTGGGTAGAGGGGTACAAGGTGGACTCTGGAGCCAGGCTGCCTAGGCTTCCGACCCAGCTCCGCCACCTCCTGCCGAGTGGCCGTGAACAGACGGCTTACTCTCTTTGTGCCTTATTTTCTACATACGTACAAGAGGAGGTGGTGCTGGTGAGGGTTGGGGTGGCCATCCCCGAGGAGATCCTGGCACGGTCCCAGGCACGCAGTGGTCCATCTCTCTGCTCTGTCCCACAGTGGCTGACATGGGCAAGCTGGCCCAGGAGGCGCTGGGCTGCCACGCGGAGCTGCTCTGTGGTGGCCTGGGCGGTCCCAACAGGCACCGCGTCCTACAGCACCTTGTGACTGGACATCCCCTCCTCATCCCGTACCCCAGGGCCTGGAGGTGGGCAGGGCAGGGTTGAAGAAGGGTCCACACCACAGTTTTGGCCTTAACTCCAGCACCAGCTACGACGAGGACTTCAACCACGAGCCGTGTCAGAGGAAGGGCCACAAGGCCCACTGGGCAGTGAGTGCAGGTGAGTGCCCTCCCTCACCCTGTGCTCTCGTCCTGGCCCCCCCCCCCTCGCCCCACTTCGACCCGCCTCATGTCCTCGCCCCAGCACGGGCTCCTCCTTAGTACTCAGGGCAGGGACCGTGGCTAGGCTGTCCCTGTCCTCACAGGGTACTTCGCAGGGACCTGGCGGTCTGTAGGTGCCTCGACACCTGCCATTCAGGGTTTTCATGAACAGAAGCTCAGAGTGTGGGTTCAGGATCAACAGTCTGGGCTCCAGGGCCAGTCTTGCCCCTTCCAGGCTCTGTAAGTCTGGGCTTCTACAATCCTGTCTGACAATTGGGTGACAGTAGTACCTGTCTCCTTGGCAGAGCACAAGGAACTCACAACAGTGCCTGGCATGCTACGTGCCTCAGTAATGTTGGCTGCAATCAGCTTTGTCTTCCTCATTCCACGTGCCTGAAAGAAGGCCAGATTTGCACAGCATGAGCCCTGAATCGAGGATCCCTTGCCAGTGGCCCTGCGGCCTTGAGGGCTTTTCTCTGAGCATCCGTTTTCCTGGACTACTGGAGACAACTGGGTTTCAGTGTTTGCTCTGTTTAATGTCACCTCTCCACCTCCTTGTGCCAACAGGCTATAGGAGGCAGGACTTACAGTGCTGCAGCTCTGCTAGCCAGACAGCCTGGGTCCAAGCCCAGCCCAGCTGTGTGCCCACTGACCCGGCCGACCTCTGGAACCTGGGGATCGAGGCAGCACCTACCCTGGAGGGCTGTCGGGGGTGTTCATTGAGCCCTGGTGCCAGTCAGGGCTCAGCTCTTGCTCACAGCCGCCTCCTCCCTCCCAGGGGTCCTGCTGGGGGTGCAGGGTGTGCCATGCCTCGGCTATGTGGAAGACCTTGAGCTGCCGGGCCTGTTTCACCCCATGCCAGGCGCAGCCAACCAGCCACCATCCCTGCCGGAGGAAGGATCCTCAGGAGCCATCTACCTTCTCTCCAAGCAGGGCAAGAGCTGGCATTACCAGCTGTGGGACTACAACCAAGTCCGAGATAGCAACCTGCAGCTGACCGACTTCTCACCCATGCGGGCCTCTGACGGCCGGGCATATGTGGTGCCCACTGGTGGGGTGCGGGCCGGCCTCTGCGGCCAGTTCCTGCTCCTCAGACCACAGGAGTCCAGCCACTAGCTTGTGCAGCCCTGCGCCTGGGTGACAGGGCCCAAGCCACAGCTTCTATCTTTGCAACAGCCTGTTTCTTTCAGCTGGACTCAGAACCTCCATCCAGAAACCCTTCATGCAGTCATCCCCATCCCATCCTGTCCCCCAGTATTGGGCACCTCTGTGAGCTGTGGTTATAGCCAGGAGCCAGCCAGACAGGCTCCCTCTCACCAGGAGGGAGACTGACCCCAGCACAGCCCCGAGATTCCTGGGCCATTCCTGCCCCCAGCCATCTGAATGTTGCCACCATGTTTCTCACTGGTAACCACCCTCTTCTAAACCCCTGGACATCTGCAAGAGCCTCTTCAAGGGACCCCTGCTGCCCGCAGAAGCCCAGGAAGCTTTTACAGTGCAAGCCAGGTCACAGCACTCCCCTCCAGAGAAACTTCCAGCATGTTCCTGTTGCTCAGAATAGGGACTCTTCCTTCTAGCCAGCTCTCCTCATCCCAGTTGTTCCTCAAATTTTCTGCCACCAGTCCTGCTGGCCTTCCGGGTCCCTAGTGTCATGTTCCCTCCTGGAGCCCCCTGCTAAGAACTCAGCTGCTCCATCTCGTCTCTTTCTCACTTTCTCAGAGAGGATGCCCTCAGCCCCAGGTTCGGCCCCTTCCCCACCTTGGTGTCCACTTGATTTAAAAACAAAGGAAATGCAGCTGAGAGCAGTTCTTGCCAACTACTTCATCATGTTGACTCCTCGGATCCTCTAGTACCCTGCAAGGAAGGTACTAGATCTTCCTCGTTTTACAGCTAGAGACTGAGGCCTGGGTAAGTGCAGGGCAGCCACTGGCCAAAGGTCACATGGCTGGCAAGCAGGGCCAGGATTCAAAGGCAGTATCTTAACAAACGGAAAGATGATTAATGAATACCTGTTCCTCCACTCTTAAAGGAAAAGAACAGGTCTGTCTGGGTCACCGCTGTGTCCCCAGTGCCCCGCAAAGGATCTTGGAGAAACTGCAGTGTAGTGTTCCTAGCAGAAGGGGAGTGTGCCCCTCCCCACCCCAGCCCCCACACCCTGGCTGGCACTCTTCTGGGAGCCCCTGAGGGTAGGGCTTGGAGCTGTTTTGTCACAGTTTGTCTCCACATCATCCAGCCTGGTACAAGTAGCAGCTCAGTGAATGAACAAATGAGCCAGTGGGCTCCCAGCCTGCATCACTGCCCCACACTCATTCCTGTCCCATTGTCACACCCAATGCTGACGCCCAGATTATGAGCTTCAAGCCCACACATCCCAGACGCAAAAGAAAGAACTCCACGAAGTTGACTATGAATGTGCTATTTACTGGGGTGTCCTCATGGGGAGGGGAGGCATGGGAAGTGATTTTCCCTCCTGTTCCCCATACTGCCCCATTGAACAAATAGACATCTTGTATAAATATTGTAAAGATGGTCAGTAGAAAAGGAGTGCACCTCCTTATCTGGGAGACCTTAGAGCTTCAGCTTAGGGAAGGGGGGACTGTCCTCCCCAAGTCTAGCCTTGTGGGCCAGAACCCAAAGTCACGGGAGCAGGAAGAGGGGGACAGTGGTGTCACCCACACCTGAGGGTGCTGGGCACTTTGGTTTGGGCCAGGTTGTGAGCCCACAGTCCCAGCCAGTGGCCCCACCTACCCTGCACCTCTGGCCAAGGTGGGCACTAGTCACGGCAGGGTCCAGGGGCAGGAGGGGCCTCCTGAGGAAGGCAGCTCATTCCCAATTCCCAAGCCTGCTTTTTGGTTTCTGAAAGCCCTTTCTGCCCCTACACACAGGAGGAGGAAGGAAGAAAGGGTAAAGGGCAGGAGGTGAAAGTCCCAAGGCTGAGTGAGGCTGGCGCTTGAGGAACAAAGTGGTGCTGGTCACAGTGCTCACGGGACGTGGCATGGTTTTGGTCTGTGGGGGTTAGAGTTCCAGAACCATGGGGCCAAGGGACAGGGTGAACTGGGGCCCACCCAGCAGCGGCAGCTCTCAGGCCAGCCCTGTCATTGTCACACTCCCCTCAGCCTATCAGCACTTGTGTGGCCTCAGATAACTCTCCCCAGTGGATGAGTAGCTCCTGCAGTTGACCACAGACAAGGTCCAGTTTTCCTGGCACCTGGCACCACAGCTGAGACTGGTTGCTGGCCTTGGAACCAGCTTGCAGCCCCACGGAGGCAGTCATCCACGGAGTGACACCCCCTGCAACAGCCAGCCACGGGAATCATGTTCTTTCAGGGCACGTGGTTTAGTTGTGGCCTCTGGCAGCTCCTCACAAACCTTCCTGACCGCTCAGAGGAACCAGTCTAGTTCTGACTCACTGAGACCCAGCTGTGTCTCTCCCCATCTCCAGTCCTTAACCCCTGGCTTATGAAACGGTGAGGCACTCCCTGGTCTCCATAGCCCTTCATATCTTCCATTCAGGTCTTGTGTGGTACACAACACAATCTCTCCCAACAGTGAGGTCAACTCCCCCAACCTCAGGCCCCCGGGCATCTCAGGCTCCTCCAGCCAGACGGGCATGATCCAGTAGATAAGCCAATGGGAGCCAAGTAGGTCAACTCTGGGCCAGCCCCTGAAGCAGGCGGATCATGTTGTCCAGGCCCCAGAGGTAGCCATCCTCGTGGTTGCCCTCGGCCCAGGGCAGTCGGTGGCTGAGCGTCTGGTGGTCAGGCAGGGCCACTGTCTTCCCAAAGTCAATCATCCAGACCCTGGCCAGGCCCGTATGGTCGTGCACAAAGAGGAGGGAGCTGCCTACTACCTGCAGGGAGAGAGATGGGAGGTTAGGAGAGGAGCAGGCACTGCCCAAGGTCCCCCCTGCCAGCAGGCAGCTGAGCTGAGTGGTTGACAGCATGAACTTGAGCCAGACAACCTGGGTTTACATCCTGGCTCTGCCACTTTCTGGCTCTGTGGCCTTGGGCAGATGACAATTTCTCAGTGCCTCTGCATCCTCATATACAAAGTGGAATAATGGGAAAAGTACACCACTTACCTCAAAGGTTGCTTGGCATATGCATGAATTAATCCACATAAAGCTCTTAGAACAGTTGTCAGTATAGCAATTGTACAACCAATGTAAACCAGTTTCCTTTTTCAAGCTAGGATACAAATGCAAATGCCTGCAGGATCCTGACTTCATCAGGAGAGCCTGGTGGAGGCTAAGGAGTGGCTACTACCTCCCCATATTGCTGCTGGGGACCCCCGGGCAAGTGGCTTCTTTCTCCAGGTCTTGGTTTTCTCATCTGTACAATGGGGATGATGGTAAAAGCCCCGACCTCCTGGGGTCATTGGCAGCATTCCATGATCCCCAGGCTTATAAAATGCCCAAGGTGCTTAGCACACAGCTCTCAGAACATGCTGTGTGTCTTGACATAGAAACTATTTTGTTGCCTTTACTTAACTCCAGGTATGTAAGCCCCTCCCTTTTTCCAGTCAGCTTTCAAACCCCTCTGCTCCAGAGGATCAGACAACTGGGCAGGCAAGGTGACTGTCGGAAGAGGCAGATGCCTCCCCACTCTGGATGGCTGTTGGCATACGGCGAGCTGCCCAGCGTTACCACGTCTCCCAGTGTGTCAAAGGAAACTGGAAATCCCAATTTCACTGTGAAGTCTCATGTTTTAAATGTTGGCAACTCATTTTTTAAAACGATAAGTCCCCAGGCAGACGAAACCAAACACGAGAACAGAAAAAATGAGGTCCCTGGGCTGCCTCTCTGTGGCTTGCATGTGAAGTTCGAAGGCAGGGACAGGACGATGAGGGGGATGTCTGATAAGAAGCCTGACAGTAAGAACGGGCACAAACTGAGGGTTCACCCTATGAGCCCACTGGACCTGCAGCACGCCCGCGAGGCAGGCACTCTGTTACCCCATCCACAGGTCAGAGACAGGCCTACAGAACTGCCCAGGCTGAGGGCTGGGGAATCAGCGGGGCTTCAGCCCTGCCTGGCCTGACACTCTTTCCTGACGAGTGAAGTCAGAGATGGCAGGCAAAAGAGGAGGGCTGGGGAGGGGAGGGGAGGGGAGGGGAGGGGTACTGCAATACCAGTCACCACTCCTCAGACTTTGTGAGGCAGCCCAGGGAGGAATGCTTCCAAAGAGACTTTCCAAAGACACCCAGGCTGTGAGGGAAGGAGGAGGGAAGGGGGAGAGCCACCAAACACAGAATGCAGGTAACAACAATTGTAAATAAGTATGATTATAAAGTAAGCGCTAGGAGTTAAGTGCACTTCTGTGCTCTAAAAGGCGCTTGACACACTATTTACAATAGCCAAGAAATGGAAGTAACCTAAGTGTCCATCAGTAGATGAATGGATAAAAAAAGAGGTGGTACACATACATAATGGAATATTATTCAGCCATCAGAAGAAAACAAATCCTACCATTTGCAACAACATGGATGGAGCTGGAGGGTATTATGGCCAGTGAAATAAGCCAGGCGGAGAAAGACAAGTACCAAATGATTTCACTCATATGTGGAGCATAAGAACAAAGAAAAACTGAAGGAACAAAACAGCACCAGAATCACAGAACCCAAGAACGGACTAACAGTTACCAAAGGGAAAGGGACTGGGGAGGATGGGAGGGAAGGGAGGGATAAGGGCGGGGGAA